TTATCTAAATGTGTTTCAAATTAATCTCTATCTTTTTAATAAAATATAAAAAGGCTATTTGTCTGTACGTTGGCTTCTTGAATAGACCGTCAAGCTACTCTAGTTAATTGGCTAATTTAAAATTGATTTATTTAATCAGGCCACACGCATGCTACCAATTTAGGTTCCTACATATAAGATAAAGAGGAGTAAATTCTAGAATGACTAGAAGTTTTTTATTTAAAAATCGTAGCAAACTTGGGAGAAAGGGTGGAAAAGTTGCCTAGGGTAAAATTAAAGGACCCGGTTTTACCTGAGTAGGAACTGTTCATCCTGGACCCCTCTTTGTTACATGTAAAAGCAGTTTCTTAGGAAGCTCGCTTTTACGACAAACTGTACTCTTTGAAAATGATTTATTAGAGAGTTTTTACTGAACGCACAAAAATCAGAATACACAATAACTGCATTAAGGAATAATATATATGACAGAAGTAAGGGACGTGGTGGCGCTGTGGGCTAAACCGCAGAAGCCTGTGCTGCAGGATCAGAAGACCAAGCAGTCGTAAGATCGAATCCACGCGACGGAGTGAGCTCCCGTCGCTTGTCCCAGCTCCCGCCAACCTAGCGGTTCGAAAGCATGCAAGTGCAAGTAGATAAATAGGGACCACCTCAGTGGGAAGGTAACAGCGTTCCGTGTCTAAGTTGCACTGGCCATGTGACCATGGAAGATTGTCTACGGACAAAAATGCTGGCTCCATGGCTTGGAAACAGAGATGAGCGCCGCCCCCTAGAGTCGAACACGACTGGACAAAAATTGTCAAGGGGAACCTTTACCTTTACCTTATATATGACAGAGCTTATAACAGAGAGTTACTTTGCTAGTACAGGATAAAATTCCAGTACATATTAAACACAAAACACACAATTAAATAATGTTCCCTAAATAAGGCTCCATTCAGAGTTGGAAAATTGCTCGGATGAGGGAAGCTCACTGTAATAGTAAAAGCTATGAAGCGTCTGAGCACAGTCCAGTGGCAGAGCTTGAACAGATTGTATTGGGTTTTAATATGACAGGACAGGAATTCAGGCTGCAGCCACTTTTGGATTTTGGGAATTTTAAGAGGAAAAGTTAGACAGCAGAGACAAGAGAGATAGATTGAGGAGTTATCTTATAAAAAAGAGGTGTGGGTGTAATATGTCCATGGTCACCATGCTGAAATGGGGGGATAGATGGAAAGACAGTTTCAAAGTACACTCCTCTGCAGGCCTCATATACTGTAGTTCTAAGCTGATATTATTAGTTATATTCAGGTGTGAGAGCTTCTGATATACTGTATTTTTCTGTGTGTAAGACACCCCAATGTATAAACGGTCCCCACTTTTGTAACCCAAAATTAAGAAATCTAAGGGGGCCTTAGCAAGTGGAGGGGGAAAGGGATCAAAGTGCTGCAGGATTGCTTTGATCCCTGCTTTCTCCCTTTGTGCTAAGCCCCATGGGGCTTAGCAAAAGGAGGGGGAAGGGATCAAAGCAATCTTCCAGCTGCACGATCGCTTTGATCCTTCCCCCCTCTTTTTGCTAAGCCCCGTGGGACTTAGCAAGTGGAGGGAAAAGCAGGAAGTAAAGCGCTGCAGGATCACTTTGGTCCCTGCTTTCCCCTCCACTTGTTTTTATTCTCTCCTCAGCTTACCTCCATGTATAAGACGACCCCCAATTTTTAGTCTAAAGGTTTTAGACAAAAGTATTGTCTTATACCCCTTCATGGATTGCTGCCTTGTCATGGCGAAGGGGCTTGAGTAATTCAGAGAAGCTATGGGCTATGCCGTGCAGGGAAACCCAAGACAGGTCATAGTGGATTCCGACTAAACGCGATCCACCTGGACCGGGTAGGTGGGGCCCGCCAGCCTTGGAAGGCAGCCCATCTAGGAGAAGGAAAACTCCAATTTCAAACCTCCATTGCCTTGTGGCTATATCCACTGATGGAAAGGGCTTCAGGAGTAAACCTTGAGGCAAATTCCGGAGCCAGAGTCCCTGAGGCAGTTCGTGTCGTTCTGGCAACTCATGCGAGGTCGCTGGAACCAGCTGTATTGGCTCCTGCCTTTCCATTTGGACTATTTCTGCAACATGGAGGGGGGATTTTCTGCTTGGGTAACAGCCTATCCTCCATATTATTTTACCCAGGCTTAATGCTCTGGAAAGGACACTCATACAGAGCACGTTACCATTGTCTCTTGAGACTGAAGGATGCCTAAGAAGGCCAGTAAAAGGATTCTTTAGACATGAAGCAAAATGTTAGGTTTTACATCTTACTTGATTTTCTTCTGCTATCACCGTCACATCTGGCTAAAGAAAAATCATCTGCAGAACTAATATCTTTCCAAATATGGTCTCTGGCAATTCTAGGAATTTTCCAATGCTGAAACAAATGTCTGTTATTTCTAAATATTTCCTAAACTCTTTTGTGCTACTGTGGCAGGTGCAAAACCATTTACCATTTTTGCTCTAATAAAAGCACAGTAATCTGCTGAACAGAATGTTAATACATACAAACGTACGGTACATGGATATTCCCACCCACCCACAAGCCATGTACGTATGAAGTAATTGAATGCTGCCAAGAAGAAACAATAAGTAAAGGATTTTTTACAGACCTCTTTGAAAAATACTTACGCAGAGACAATTTCTTCTCCACTTACAAATTTTGCATATGAAACAGCTTTGCGATGTCCTTTGAAGACCATGATTGGTTGCTTAGTGTTTCGAAGATCATAGTAGTGAACACAATGATCTGGGGAAAGATGTGCAGAAAAAAAGAAAAAACTGTGAGAGATCAGTATATGGAGAAACTGTGGCAAATATTAATGATATGCAACATACCACTACCAACACTTGAAAAGTATAGAGCCACAGATTTAGAGTCTGATTTGGTCCTAGCAGTCAAGGATGAACATCGTATCTACCAGCCATCGCACCCACACTGATTTCCTCAGTTTATCACTTGAGTGAACTGCTATTCTTACCCTACAGACCCACAGACTGATAATTTTAATTCTTCACAACATGATAATCCTATTCATTCACTAATGAACCCATATCACTTTATCCATCTGTATCCTCACATGATTGCAGGGCCATGTATAAATATGACAGTCATATAGTCTCACTCTAATGTCTAAGGAAGTGGACTTGATTCACAAAAGCTCATACTAAAATATCGTAGTTACAGTGGGGTCTTGACTTACGAACTTAATCCATATTGGAAGGCAGTTTGTAAGTCAAAAAGTTCTTAGGTCAAATCTGCATTTCCCATAGAAATGCATTGAAAACCATTTAATCTGTATTTGCTCTTTTCCGTCCATAGAAACTAATGGGAAGCTGCTATTCCGTCTTCTGCCACTAGAGGGTGATATTTTTTCTTTTTTTTCCCTTAGGTTCAGAAAATGAGGAGGAAGGCAGGGAACAGTTTGCAAAGCATTTTAGAAATCTTTTTTTTCAACAAAGCCAAATTTAAATAATGTTTTAAAGCATGTTGTGCTGATTTTTTCAGCACAAAGACACACAGGCAGGCTTTTTAGGTGCTGAGAAAGCCTCCCCAAGCCTCTTCAGAGCCAGCCCATCAGCTGATAGGCGGGGGAGGAGGGTGCAGGAGGGGGGAAAGCACAAAATGGCTGCCAGGCTCCCTTCTGGTGTGGGCTTTTAGCTGTTTCCTGCTCTTTTTCCTGCTGTTTGGGGGCTACCAAGGCCTGGTAAGTGACTTTTATTTATTTTTAAGTTTCTAACCCTTTTTTCCCATCCAGAAGCCTCTAAGGGGAGGAAGGGGGGACTTTTTTCCCTATACGTAACTCAAGGGAAGTTCGTATGTTGAGTTCTTATTTCCCCTACAGGGCAGGTAGGGCAGGTTCATAAGTTGAATTGTTCGTAAGTAGGGTTGTTCGAGACCCCACTGTAGTCTTTAAGGTGCCATGTTTTTGTCCCATGTGTTGGTACGAGTTTGTGTGTGTGTGTGTGTGTGTGTGTGTGTGTTGTTTGATATCCCATCTGGTCCCTGATATAGAATAAAAAGTCAGATGGGAGAAAACCAAACCTACATTTATTATAATGATGAAGAAGATAGTTATCACTTTGTTTCTGAGTCTGTCTAATGAGAAGATGTACATATTTGTGCTTCAGAACTAGACTGCATTTTATTTGCTACAATATTCCCTATAAAATTAAAGAAAAACAAAAGCTAGACAACTGAATCCATCATACATAAGCCTTCTTCCCAAGAAATATACTATGTTCCCATGCTTCTAAACTTTGCTGTGAAGTATAAGTAAAACTTCTACAAAGGGAAGAAATATTGAATGAGAAATGGAAGAAGACAACAAAAAAGGAAGGATAAAAAAATTCAAGAAACTAAAGGTGCCAATACTGCAGATGCTGAAAAATAGGATGTATTTTGGATGTCCATTTCTCTCTCTCTCTCTCTCTCTCTCTCTCTCTCTCCCCCATATTTCATTATTCCAGAGCAATTTGGAGAAGATCCATTCCCACACTGATTGCTTTTGGGGGAAAGATAAACAAGAAAAGAACCACCATGCCACACTGAAATGTCAAAACAGTACAAAATAGGGGACTTCCGGTTGGGCAGTGTCAGCGTTTGGCGGTGCTGAGACAGAGCTCCGAGAAATTTTGAGCTATAGCTGGTGATAAAAGGTAAATCCTCTGATAACTTTCTACTAATGAGAGAGCCTCTTTGCTGATAATAAGCCTAGAGAAGAGGAGTTTGTGCTGCAGAAACCTAATGTCTGAGAGTTGAATGGTATCTTATAACCAATATACTCCCCCGCGCATAACATCAGACAAGGTGCCAAGAAGTCAAGATGCCGGCTGCTGAAATGTTAATGTTTACCTTCTTTCCTTGCAATTAAACATTCCTGCAAGAAACTCTGATGTGAGGCTTTTAAGGAACCATCTGTGTGTCATAAAAGCGAACTTCCTAAGAAACTGCTTTTACACGTAACAGAGAGAGGTCCAGGATGAACAGTTCCTACTCAGGTAAAACCGGGTCCTTTAATTTTACCCTAGGCAACTTTTCCACCCTTTCTCCCAAGTCTGCTACGATTTTTAAATAAAAAAACTTCTAGTCATTCTAGAAGATTTACTCCTCTT